TTGGTCTTGTCTTCTTATCTAGTTTGTCTCTTTTTACCTGTGGCATATAAAAAAAGCATAGGTAACGAAAGGTTTTTAAATGTTGCATTCTGATTTATGACCAAACCATACTTTAAATGGAGTTCTCTTCTATGAAACTTTGGTTGGTAGTCTATTTAGTAGAAAGACTATTGTGTTTGTAGCTTTTGCCCATAATTTCTTTAGTAACTTTTTTTCATATAGCATACACCTTCATTATAGTTTTGTTTTTCCTTTCACTTACTCTATTCTACTGTAGAGTATAGGGTGCTGGTAGTTGGTACCCATCTTCTTCACAAAATTTGTTAAATTTGTCAGAAGTGTATTCCTTCCCATTATTTGATCTTATTACCTGTATTCTGCAATGAATTTGATTTTCCACCTATACTTTAAATTTCTAAAATACACCAGCAACCTCAGATTTGAATTTAAGAAAATAAATCCAACAAAGTTTGGAATAATCATCAATAAATACAATATAGTACTTACTGCCATTTAAAGATGATGTTTTTTAAGGCCTCCAACATCTTAGTGAACCAGTTGAAGATTGTTTGTTGCTTTCCATGTAGTTTGAGAAAAAAGACTTTTGACTTGTTTACCATACTGACAAGCCACACAATCTACCATCTTCTTTTCCAACAATGGCACTCATTTCACCAAATCGTGTTTTTGTATATAAAGAAGTCCGGCATGATGGAAATGTTTAAGCCTTTTATGCCATAATTTTGCATTGCTTGTGTTAGATGAAAAGGCTATCTGGCTCTCATCCATTAGATTTAGAGCAAAGCTTTTTCTTTTCATTTTTATCTTAAATGTATCTTTGCTTTCTGCATCTTTAATCTTGCACCATTGGTCTTCAAATAATATTTTGAAACCCTTTTTAGGTAGTTGTCCAACACGAAGCTGGTTTTAATCAATGTCAGGCATATATAAAACATCAGTAATGTATTTCAAACCTGTTAGGCTTTTTATAACCACTGTTCTTTTGCCCTTAATTACGATGTATTCACCGTTTCCAATCTTCACTTTAGAAATTTCAATTTTATTAAGTTCTTTAAAAAGTTTATGATCATTTGTTATGTGGTTTGCACAACACTATCAATAAGTCAAGAGTTACTAGAACTATTATTTATTGCAAAGCATGTCGGAACAAATAACTACTCCCATTAATATTGTTCAGCAGTAACATTTGCTTCTTTTCCATGCTTTTATGACTTGTAAATCCTTTTCATGTGCCCAATCTAACCACATTTTTTGTATTGAAAATCTAGCATCCACCAGTACTTTTTCTACAGATGATTAATCTTCTTACAGTTTTCATCTTTGTTTTTGTTGTTGCTTGCATTATTACCAATCTTCTTATTATTCTACTTTTTATTTTTCCTCCATTCTCTGTCTCTTTCGAAATTTTGTGCCTTTGCTTGAAAGACACCCTTCATAGAATTCTCTTGTCTTATCATCATTCTTTACTGATGTGCTTGCAATGCATTTACCAACTCTGTTAAAAAAATGCTTAACAGATCATTTGACTCTTTTAAAGAAGAGATTTTAGCTTCATATTTCTCATGTAATGTAACAAAAAATTTTTGCACAATTCTCTCATAAAAAAAATCATTGCCAAATAGTTTCACATTGTTTACAATGCTGAGCAGCTTGTCAGAGTACTCTTTGATGGATTCTGACTTTTTAATTCTTTGCATTTCAAATTCTCTAATCAAATGCAACACCTGATGTTCTTTGTCTTTCCATTGCTTTGGTATTCCTTCTTGAGATACTCTCAAATCTCTTTTGCTAATTGTAAGTTCATGAGACTGGTGAATATTGTGCTTGAAACTACAAAGTACAAGCAACTTTTTCTTTTTGACTTTCTAGTCCTTTTTTCTTTACGATTCTTAAGCTGAGCAAATGTTGGATTAGCAGGTAGTTCAGGAACTTCATAGTCATCCTTGACTACTTTCCACAAATCTAAAGCATCCAAATGAATTGCCATTCTAATAGCCCAAGCTTGATAGTTGTCACCATCAAAGATTGATGGTTCAACTAAAAATATCTTGTCTGACTCCATTTGATTAAGGGTTTTATGTGTTGCTGTGTTCATGTAGAGGATTTTTTTTGTATTTTTTTTGGTTCACTCAACTAATAGTTCCCCTAAAAAGCTTAATTTTGATACCAATTTTGTTGGTTTTATAGAGATAAAGAAAAATAATAAACTCATAAGAAGGAACAATGAGAATATGAAGCTGAATGTTGTGTTTTTTTTTTTTTTTTCATTCAATGCAACTTCTTTAAATACAAAATGATTTTAACTGAAAACTAGAATGATTGCTAGTTACAAGGCATGATCTTTCTATTCACAAGCCATAAACAAAAATCACTAACACACAACTAACTTCCTAAAATTTTGGTCAGACATGGCAAATTTAATTTGACCACTTATTATGCACATCTCATTCTTCATCACACGGTAGCCCGTGTCTGCATTATGTAGCTGATGAGGCATTCTTGCAACAAGAACCTTCTCTAAAGTTTGGTAAAACTCAAAACCATATTCTAACTAGTATGTGTTTGTAAGATCTCTTATATTCTCTCTAGTATTGCTTAGACTCTCTTAGTTTATTTTTGCCTTGAGTGAATAGTACAAAAATTGTACAAGAAAAGGGTGGCTTAATGTTCATTTTTTAGGGGAAGCATTCGGTCACATTAGGTCATATCGTATGCAACAATTAAGCCTATGTTAGCCAAATGTACTAAACAAAAGAAAAACTCTTTCTCTTGTTTTATTTCTTCTATTTTTGGTCATACCGTAATCAAATTAAATCCATCTTAATTTGTTTCAATTTTAATCTTTCACAATTGTCCTATTTTGTGTGACCCATTAGGTTTTTAGCATGTTAGCAATAAACACAAGCATTATGAGCCTTGGTATTTGGCTAAGGATGATACAAACCTATTGTCTTCATCACCAATTCTCCAATTAGCCAATCTTATGTTTGTAGATAATGATCAATGCTAGTTTTATTGCCATGACTCCTAATTGTTAAAAAAAAGTCCATATAGCTTGACAACCTATCCGTGAATGGTTTTAATGTATAATTAATATCTTTTCATTACATAGTATCTCGATTTGAGTATTGAGTATGGTTTAGTGTCTACTTAATCATGTTTAACCATGTTGAGTCTTGTCCTTGACAATAATTCACAAATAAGCTTTAGAACAATTCTAAACTCTTATTTTACTTTGGTCAAAGATTTCTCAACTTAATTTAATCAAGACTAGTTGAGATACTCTTTTGATCACACAAGGTGATGAATCCTATCTTGATTACTCCATGTATCTTTAGATACCTCATGTTATATCCAACAATACTTGATTGGAGCATTCTTGATTAGAACCATAAGTAAAATAAAGTCAAAGTATAACATTTATCATATAGGATCATAAGTAATCTCAAGCCAAAAGATCACTTATACAATCATCACATGAGAATGTAGTTATAGACAATATGTAAATTACTATATAACATTCTCATATTGGGTCATGTTCAATAAACTTCTTCTTGTAACAAGTACCCATATGTTAGCTCAAATTTATCTAACCTTCAATCTATGAGATTGGTTGCTTGCTTCATAAGCAAGAGAATAACCATATGCTAGTCTCAACAGTTTTTGTCAATATTCTCTTATTGATAAAGCATCGACTAGGAACTATTTTGGAACATATAACTTTTATGCAATGATGATCTCATAAGTACAATCTCATTGTAATTCCCTTGCAAAACTTTATTTATATTCTGAAGACTTTATTATCTAAGTATTAATATTGAAATATATATATATATATATATATATATATAAGCTCAATGATAAAAAAAATAAGATTTTATAAGATATCAAATATCAAAGTACTACAAATAGGATAATATCTTAAGTAAAATATAATTCGGTTTGAAGGCCAAATACCAACACTTTTCTTGAATTTTTAATAGAAATCATGATACTAGAATAGAAAAGGAATGAAAATAGATGGTTTATACATATAATACAAGATTCATGCAACTGACATCAAACATCTCAAGATTAGGAAGAAGATAATTTTCTAAAATTTTCTCCTAGTAATTGCCAATAAGATATTATAAATTGTTAATTACCTATTAATACTTAGTGATGGAGGACAACACCTAATACAATAAGATAACAATTAAATTCATGTCAGATCCGCTTCCCACTTTTCTTTAGGGCTAAAGTAATTCTTACTCATTCAGCATGAAAAGCCTGTACTTAATGCAGTAATAACTCAAGCTTACCAGCCAATATTGGCATTTTTTGGTAGCTTCCTTCCTTACAAAGAAGTGCTAAAAATAACCCAATGGTTGCACCCACTAGAACTCAAAGCCAACCCTCGAGTCCAATCACTTCAATTGCAAAGGGTAAAGTAAACAGAATTATGAGAAATTATACTGTAGATAAGGGAAAGTTGAGAAGAAATCCTCACAAATTGGATGGGGCATGGTCAATGTAGAAAGAGGGTTGCTTTGCTCTAACCAATTTTTCATTCATATTTTTTTAATATAAAGGAAATCATAGTTTAGAGATAATTAAAAAAAATTACAAATGTTAAAATTTAAATTATAAACTTATTAAATATTATTTTTTAAGAATGATAGTATAGAAATTGAAAGAAATGAATTCGCTTTTAATCCATATTTTGCAAAAGGGTACCTATCTCAAAGTTTGAAATTTAAATGAGTACAGATGCTCCAACTACATACAAAGAACTAAGAAGTGGCTTTCTGGCCGCAAACTACTCTTTTCCCATTCCATGATTGATGGCAATGCATTTTTGGAGTTTTTGACAAGGTATTCTTAGGTCACACTGTTTGGCCTAATTTGCCCATTTTTGGAGGGAACATGGAAAATGGCCATCCAAACCCCACCTCCACCTTTTCTTTTTCTTTTAAACACTCTCAAGATTCAACTAACAACAACAAGAATTCAATTAAAAAAAAAAAAAAACCCACAAAGAAAAGGTCTTTAAGTCTCCCCTCTTAGCTACTTCTGTACTTCATAGTCCTCCCTCTCTTTTTACCATTTCCATGCACTCCTCTATTTATATCCCCTTGAATCTCTGGTCCTTGACATTCATATCTCACTCGTATCATAGACCATGGATTGGTTTTCTTGGCTCTCAACAACTGGCCTTGAGCCATCCCTTGTGTATGAGTATGGCCTCGCTTTTTCCCACAATGAGCTTGAAGAAGAAGATTTAGCTTACTTCAACCATGAATTTCTCCAAAGCATGGGCATATCAATAGCTAAACACAGGTTGGAAATTCTCAAGCTTGCTAGGAAGGAGAAAGGAGGAATTCCAAAACCAGTGTCAAGGGTTCTGTTGGCAATCAAGAGAACAAAAAGGAGCTTAGCTAAGTATATCAGGACATTGGTTCGCAGGGAAGAGGCAGCTCTTGTTGTCGTCAATCCAAGGAGTAGGTCAGGATATGCTCATAAATGGAAAGGTGCAATGTTGAAGAGAAACAAGAAGCTGATGATGGCTACGCAAGGGAGACTGCTGCTCACAAATGGGACTCCTCTAGTGGTTTCAGGGCCTGCTAGAGTTGAGAGCTTTTCAAGTCCTGTGGTTTTTGACTGCCAGGAGGAGGGGAAAATGGATGGTGATGAAGATGGATATTGGTCAACAGCTGTTGAAGGGATCAGGTGGGATACAATGTTCCAGGATTTGAAACCAACTTGAAGGTTGTTTTCATTTGCTTTTGTTTCTTAATCTATTTTTTCATCATGAACATTTCTCCTTATGTCAAATTTGACTGGTGAGAGATGAGTTTTTTTTGTTTCTTCCACTAGAATTGTGTGTGTGTGTGTGTGTGTGTTTAGGAATGTCGGTAATTTATCTTTTTTTTTTTCCTTTAGTGGTGAGTCATGTGAAAGCCAGACTTTGGCACCAAGGAGCCTGTTTCAGTCAAGAGATTGTCTCCCTTGCTTTTTGTATGTCTTGATCTTTGTGTCTTTGACAGAAAAGAAAAGCACTAGCAATCAGTCTCTTTGGGAAAGACTGAAAAAGAGCCATTTGTTAGGCATGGAAATATGCAGAAAGCATTGTATTGTAAATTTAAAATGATTGTTTATTTGGGTGAAAGTAGGAGAGATCATACTTTCATATCTCCCAAAACTGTACTAGAATATGAATCATCATGCTTTGATAAGTGAGTTTTCTCTTAAAAGAAAATATATTTCTTTAGGTAACCATAAGAAATGTTATGAAACCAATTTGGAGAAGATACGGCTAAGACACATATCAATTTCATTCAGTTCAATAATATATAAAATCTTTGATTGATTTAGAGTGCAATGATACATGGTAACCAACATCCCTGAAGGATAATACAATGATTTCAAGTAAGTGAATTTAATCATACATCCCTTAGAATATGATCATTATAGGGAATTAAAGTCTTACCAAACGTATGGACACCAAAGCTCAACAAACATCTTTACTTGGGATAGACTCAAAAGTGCAGCAAAATTTGCACCAGATATGGGACTGCACAAAGAGCAAAATTCATGGAGCAAACCAATATAAAACAGGCATGCCACCACTTTTATTCTGGCAATAATAGCTTTCGATTTTCAGTGGTCTGAAGCTTGAGGAAGACGAAATGAACCAGAAGAATATAGCATCTGATAAACTGGTCTTATTCTAATTGTTAAAAATATGCTCAAGATGGTGCCTAGCCCGCAGATGCCAGCTAAAACCAAGAAGGTGAGCCTAAAGCATTCAGGGCCCAAGCAGGTGGAACTTCCTTGCTTAGCAGCTTCAGCATCATAAACATAACCAGCAAGCAGACCTGAGAAAAGAAGTGCACCTACAGGATTGCCTATCTGCATGAAGTTATAAATGATACCAAAATGTTTCAGGCCAAAAAGTTCAGATGCCGTTGGAACCATGAGAGAATATTGAAAGCCGTAGCAGACACCGAGCAGAGCAGTTGAAACATAGAGAGTACCACTGAGAGCTAATGCATACAGAAAAAATGCTAAGATCATAACTATAAGTGTGCAAGTCATCCACATTGTTCGAGGAATAGTTCTTGTCCTGCAAGACCACAAATTCATGCTTACAATAATGCCTCATAAACAAATGGTAATTTTTAATATAAACTACTGAACTATTATCACTGTGAAAAAACTCCACGGGGCCTGTGGCGAGAACAAAGTTTGGATAAAAATTTTACAGGAACATTTTCATCTACCAACCTAAGAGACAGTGTCTTCCAAATAAAAGATGTAGGGAAAAGGATGCATGCTGAAGAGTAAGAACAAAAGTAAGAGAATTTAGTAGTTCTCTGCCGTGCCTTCTGAAAAGCCAGCCCTGGTTTTGAATGATTTGAAAAATGGAAACAAAATATTTACATCTAACCTTACACTAGACTTGCTAAATCAAAATTTTATAATGAGAAATAACCTGACAAAGTGTTCTGAAAGAGCACCCGACCCAAGACGACCAACAAAATTGCAGAAGCTAAAAAGGGACAGTAATATTGTTGTACTATCTAGCCCAAATGCAACTCCAATTTGAGCCAAGTTATTGAGAACGGTAACGCCAGAACCAACTCCAAGAAAATATACAACCCAAAGAAGCCAAAAATCAAACTTAACAAAAGCTTCATGAAACTTGAACTCCTCCCCCCTCCTGGGTCTTCTTTTCTTCTTCACTGCTCCCTCTCCCACAGCAAGAAGAGTTTCAACATCTGAGGCATATTCACTTTCAAAGAAACTTCCAAGATTTGACGTTGATGAAGATGGTGACAACAAAGGATCTGCTTGAGTTGAACCACCTTCTCCCTGAGCCAAATGTTCAGTTGAACCCGCCAGTGGTGTAAGTGCCTCAGCATTTGCTCGAAAAAGTGTCATCTTGACTGGAATTCCAAGTGGAGAAAGCAAGAAGATAAATACAATGGCAAGTAGTACATAAGAAACAGCATCACTTAGAGAAACCGTCTCATATATTACTGTTAGTGTGAGAAGATAGATAGCAAGCAAGACACTAGCAGCCTGGGTGAAAACAAAATGGACATGAACTGAAGAGTCTTCTCCAGAAGGAGGAGTGCAAGGGCGAATAAAGTACATCATGGCCAAACATATCACTGGAAGGCCAAGAGTAAGGAACAGCAGCAGCTTTGAAGCAGACTGTTCAAACACTGAGCTGTATAATACAGTATATACAGCAGCACTGATCCCAACATAACCCTTGAGGATGCCAGAAACAGTACCCCTACTGAGGGGGAAATTCCTCATGTTTGTTACTAGCACTGCTGTGCCAAACCATGCATTACTATTAGAGGCAACTGCAAGCGCAATCCATAACTGCCATGGCATCGAACATAGATGTAGTAAGTACATAAAAATAAAAAATAGAAGTAGAAAAAAGAAACAGAAAGAGACAAACCAATAACTAGTAGCCACTTCAAAACCATCTAGTGAAGAAGCTTATGAAAACAAAGGTCACATGCAAAAAAAATTGTAATGTTACTTAATCTCCTTCATTAGCAATTTGTAGTTATTTTGATATTTTCGTAGGAGTTTCTATCAATAATCTCACATCTCTTCACATTCCAAAAGAGACGGGAAAAAGTAAGGAAAAAAAATCTCATTGGGGAAAATGACCTAACAGACGCTTACCCAGCAACCAACAGGGCCAGCTTTAAGTTTTTTCTGCATCAAAGTATGAAGAGAATAAAGAGATAGCCAGTGTAAAAATTTACTAATTACAGGTTTGGAAATGCTTCAGTGAAGACCTAGGATCATCAATAAATAGCTTGTATCAAACAAAAATGATATGAAACTAATCAACTGACAGTCTAATGCCAACATAACCAGATAAGAGGAGTGTCAGATTGGCATGAATCTGAAGTCAAACTTAAACGAGGTTAACTTCCTTCACTTCTCTCTACATCCATCCATACTATATATTGTTTGGATGGTAGGTGAGATCCAAAATGCTTTCAGTGGTCTGAAAGGAAAAGAGTTTTAGGTAGAAAATCTGGAAAAATTTTCCACTAAAGAAAGCACAAAAAAACGAAAGGGAAAAGGAAGGGGGTTGGGAAGACAGAATTTTTGCACAACAAATGCACACCTTCAAAAAAAAAAAAACCACCTAGACTAGAGGATCATAAGACCAAAATTATGTGACTTAAAACAATACAACAATCATATCATGAGCACTCTCAAACACTATAAGATTAGAACAATATGAGTTATTCAGGTTGCTCATAATCTTGTCAAGAGACACAAAGATATAATCGATAACCTGGGCTGCTTCTCCTGGCAGGTATAAGGAGGATCAACCAATAGATAAGACCCAGGCTTAATAACATTAACACACAAAGATATAGTGGATATCTGCATATTGCTAGATAGATGGGATGTTATTTTGCTTGATGTTATTATTACATAAATTTATGAACTTGCAGTTCAGGAATTGTGGCACCAAATGATATTCCTGCCTGAGTCTTTTTCAAGTAACAAAGTTTTAAGTGAATGTCTCACCTGAAGATATTTTCAACAAGGAAAAGAATTAAAAGCAAGGGTCCTGCACAGTAGTGGGCAAATTCAACTGCAGGTCTCAAAACTTTTTTTTTTCCAACTTTATGAAGCAGGTCTTATGGTGGAGAACAGATTCATGTGCTGCCATTAGTAATTGAAATTAGACCTATTTGTTTGTTCCATTCTTGGAGTATCACTGTGTTTTCCCAATCTTCTAAACAAAACAGATAAAAGCGGATGATTTTCCTACATCATATGTACCATCCCATCTCACTTTAGCTGATTCAGTCACATCATATGCAAACTAAACTAAGATTTACAAGGAAAATTAATGGAGTCACCATGATCAAACAATCCTCATGAAGATCTTATGGAGAAACAACCAAAAAGCAATTTGCAAAACAAATCCAATTCAGAAGAATTCACATATTGATGTACAATAATTGCAAACAGATAAACTCAACTATTTGCTGGCTGCTAGTCCTAGATGAATCTAATTGCCAACGGATATAGGACAAATTTCTTGAAGAAAAAAAAAAAGAAAAGCGATATGCAAAACAGATCCAATTCAGAAAAAATCACATGATGATGTACAATAATTGCAAACATGTACTCAACTAGTTGCTGGCTGCTAGATGAATCTAATTGGCAACAGATATAGGATAAAGTTCTTAAAAAAGCACAATAAAAACCAAATCACTAATAACAGTTCCATCCAACCTACTCCACAATCTAGTTCAGGAGAAATTAGGGGGGAAAATCACCAGCATTCCAAACAGTAACAACCATCAAACAAAATTTCCGAAAGGATCAGAAATTAATAACTGGGTAGAGAGAACAGTTTCATACAATCACTTTCAGAAAGGTAATGTAGAAAGAGGAAAGAAAAAAAAACAAATATGCATAAAAATTTAAATCCATAGAGTTCAAATTATGAAAATTGTGATGTGATCACTTACCACCCAGAAAGGAAGACCACTAATAGTTTGGCTAACTGCAAGCCAGATAACACCATATCCCAAGAAACAGGCAAAGACCCCAACAAGAAGCACAGCCCAAGGAGGGAACTTATTACAGGCAATACCAGGGAGAAGTCCAACACTCTCTCCAATATCATTTGCCACTCCCAAGATTGTGACTTGTTGCTGGCTTAATCCCAGAACTGATTTGAGAGCAGAAGAATAGAGTGGGAAGTTGTAGCCGTTCCCTGCTGATATCTGAACCCATACTGCAGCAGCCAAGCCAACCCATGGTGGCCTGCTCCCTGCTTTCAGTTTCAGTTTTGGCATCTGCTATTGCTTTTGCTATTGCTACCTTCTGGTAGCGGAATTATTCTCGGCTGCTGAGGTAATAGAGAGAATCAGGGAGGAGTTGTAACAAAGGGAACTCAAAAGTAAACAGGTAAATCAAAAGAAAGCAGGGAATTAAACTAGTAAGACTAAAAGAAATACGAAACACATGGGGTTATAAAGAATACACTCATTTTTCTATGATGTGATAAAATTTTACAATAATATAAGATAACTTAAAAAAACAATAAAAAAGCAGATGGATAATGATAAATTATTATTGCATATATGATCGAATAATTATATTAGTGTAAGAATAAATGGTTGGATCTAGTGGTAAAAAATGTCTTTTCTGTGATATTTTGTCTTCTAGTCTTAAATTTTTGATAAATCCTGATAAGGTAAAATTAATGTAAATAAATCTTTTTAAATTGAGTTTAGAACAAATGTATTGGATAAACTCAAGAAAATATTATTTATTAATGAAAAATAATTATAGCAATTTGTTTGCATTGAATTTTTTTATGAAATTATAACTATAAGAGAAGTTATCATAACATAATCAAGCAATACATCCATATATATAAGAGAAGTTATAATAACATAATCAAGCAATACATCCATATATAATATATTATTAAATAATTAACTAATAAATTAAAACATAACTATATAATTAAATTTATATATAGTTAGAGTTAAACCTAAGAGCTCAAGATTTCAAAATATGCTCCTTGTCACTAATCTAATACCTTAGTGTTGGTTGCATCTACGGCCTACCCTAAATAAAGGGGTTGACCTAACTTACAAGATGTTATTTTGTGATAGAAACCTTAAATTCTGGAAATTATTATTGTTGTATATATTACTAAAGAACATAATTTTGTAAACTAAGTTGAATTTTCTTAAATCATATAGAACACATAAGTGATGAAAATAATGTTTATTGGAAGTATAAAATAAAATTTGAATCAAGTTATAAAAGAGAAGTTGACTGTCTTAGTAATTGCTCATGATAAAATTTATTTTTTGAGATTTTCTATTGCTGTTGAAAAGCAACCAATTGCACTATTCGTATTTGAATTCTTGCATTCTGTTTGAACAAAACAATCGACTGCCCTTGGGAGCAATCGATTGCTCGTACTCATTTTGCCTTAGAAGAATCGATTGCTCAATGTGTTCAACAAGATGTCTATATTCTGTTTGTCGATTGCCCTTATGTGAAACCGACTGTTCTTACCCGGAAAGCATAAAACAATCAACTACTATGAAAGCAATTGGCTACTAATATGAAACTAGGTTTCTGGTCTTGAGAAAATGTTTAAGGCAGTTGATTGCTTTTATCGAGTAGTTGACAGCTCATGTTACAAATTTAAAAAAATAAATTCGTTGGACATGTTCTTTCACTTGAAAAGAATTATCATTTCATGTGAAACATGTTCTTTCATATATAGACGTTAGAAATGACTTATGACGTTTATAAATACTTTTTTAAACTCGTTTTACTAACAATTTTGTATCTTTAAACTCAGATTTCTTCTTCTTTGTACCCTTTTTTTTTAGTTCAAGAAAAATAAAAAAGACTTGAAATGCAATCAATTTTCCTTTGATTGAACATTGTATCTTAGGATCAACTTTTCTAATAACTATTTGCACCTAATAGAAAAATTATTATCCTTATAAAAGCTTTCTAAAAGTGCTTGCCCAAGTTTCTTTTTGTTCTTCATTCATCTTCAACAACATTGCAAAGGTTTCCATTGGTGCACATAGAACAATTATGATGATAAAAAATGCAAAAGCTTAAAGCTTATTATGATACATACATACATATATATATATATATATATAAAATATAAAGGCAACTTGAACCACGTTTCATGTTGTAGCACTTCTGTTACTTTATACATTCAAAATTCAAGCAAAAAATTAAATACACAGATCAGATATATGATCACTAATTTCTAATTATGGGAAAGACATTGCATTTTGAGTTTATAAAATAGCTAGCTAGACTATTTAAAAATAAATAAATAAATAAATAAAATGACTAGCTAGACCAAGGGATTGAGATTGATTGCAAAAAGAGTTACCCTAAGGGTTTTTTTTTTTCTCTTTTTATACTGACACTACCATTATAATGTGACACTAACTAGATTTTTTTACACGTATCAGCATTTTATTAGATATTAATGTCATGTTAACTTTTTTTATTAATGGTGTTAAGGGTTTGGATAATTTAATACAAGAAAATATAGTTGAAGTACCAAATTAAATTATTTTTTTTGTTTTGGAATCACATTAAGAAAATACAATAGTTCAAGGATCAAATAAGACATTATCTTTGTTTTTAAATATTAGAATTGTAATTTCAATATCTTTATTTAATGTATTCTATTATCCATCTCCATCTCCATGTATGTAGATTTTTAGACAAATCATGTAAAGTATGTGTCCTTTTCATTTCGTTCTGTGTTTATTATCTCTTAAATATTATTTTTAATAATAATAAATGAATCATTTTAAAAAGTAATTAAAATTCTAAAAAATTATTGATGGGTTGTGCTTGGCATAGCTCTACATGAAAAATAATTCTATGTTTGGCATGACACGACTTATGAAGATTACAAATCATATGATGTATTGGGTCATACCTTTAATTTTCATAAATCATACTAGCACAATACGTTAAAAAATAATACTAAATCGGTACGATCTATTAACATATGGACTAATATTTAAATAGGCTATGTTAATCTAACACGATCCATTTGACACCTCTTTTTAAATATAATACATAGTTTAAAGGTTTAAGATACAAATTATGTATTTTATTTCTTCAAATACCAATTTATATATTTTTCAAAAATTTAAGTACAAAATATAATCAACTCTTTAATTTATATGTATTTTTTTATTCACACACAACAATGTTAATTAGAGGAGTAAATCTAGGTTCTTTAGTTGCTATCTCCATACTTTCCCAAACAAGGAAGTTGAGGAGTTGGTCCCACAAAGTCTCAAATTAGAATATTCCAAATAAAACAACTTGACATCTTAACAACATTGTCCTTGTCCGGCACATGAATTGAGAACCAAAACCTACCACAAGATTGATGGGGACGTTGATACCCATTACCCAATATATATGGCCTTCACCACCATGTGATTTTCAATTGACAACTATATGCGTCATCACTTACGTGTGATACTATTGGACATGGTTTTTCTTTTAGCTAAGCCATCATGATCATGGTTTCCATTACATACATGCATGCACGTGTTATCTAGTAATTAAGGCAAATTAACATTTTATAACATCTTACTCAATGTGTAAAAAGATAATTAGTGGCAATGTAATTAGGTAATAACTAAGTTACCTTTTAGTTCTTAACCCAATATCTCGTAATATAAGAAAATAACAATTTCTTTTAAATGTTGAGGTTCAAAATTCAATTTAAAAAGATTCATAAAGTTTTAAGAGGAAATCTAATGGTTAGAGCTTATTATTTCATTTTGAAATTAAAAGTTTCAAATTTTAATTTTGAGATGAATCAAATGAAATTTACGAAATAAAAAATTTATTTTTCATTATATAACTCTATCATATTCATAAAAAAAATGAATTTCAAAAATTAAGCTTTATGAAAATTTATTTCAATTTGATAATTTATATAAAGGAAATTTATGTGATTAGGCTGAATTCTTTAATATATTTTTATACGAAGAGGAAAAGAACGGATGAGGTCTCCAAAACGAGGATGATAACAACCGTTGAAGTCAACCTTGTTTGTTTCAAATGATTTTTCTTTTTTTAATATTGTGGAATATATTTGCAAAACTTTCCAATTATTTTATTACCTTGAGCTAATCTATACATCTATACATTTAATATTAAAAAAAAATCTTTGGAGTCTTTTCCATTGGACAGCTGTTCACTTTTGTGGATGTGATGCGTTTTGATATGGGAGGAGCCTGAGGTTGTTTTTTGAGTTGTCGAGAAGACCTGAGTTTTATTTGTTGTCTTTGTAACATATATCGATTAGTATTTTTATAGCATTAAAATATATGAAGGTTTATAAGTTTAATTTAGTTATAAAATTTTAAAATTTATTTCAGTTTGGTGTGTTTAATCTTGTTTTTTTTTTATCTTTAGATTTTTTTATTCGGAATAATATTTTTTTTTACTTTCATGCAAAATTCATGTAAGATTAAAACAAAATTAAATTTTGTAATGTTTGACTATGCATATTAAGAATGTATATGATTTTTATTTGTAGTAGGTTTTCTAAATTCAACTTAAAATAAAAATTTTATTGGTACTTAGACTCTTACAAGAATTTGATTTTCCTAGAGAGGTCTTCTGCATACATATGAGATATTTGAAGATTTTTATTTACGGATAGACTTTATGATTATGATACCCTAATCTTATATCGAAATATTTTGAGGATCGATTATGATATATAAGTAAAGGCTTAAACTTATTCTTGTGAAGCACTTTTCGTAAGATAAAATCGTCAAACTTTCTGATAAAAGTGGATAATACATCAAAAATTGAGTGTAAATTTTCACAAATAGTATCAGAGTGGTTACCAGTTAGACATGATTTAAGTACTACACAATGGGAGCCACCTTAAAATCATGCGGTAGTTAAGTGCGACATGGTGGGAACCATTTTTAGAATTTCAATGTTTAATGTAATCTTATGATTTGTGTATGTTTTGTGTTGAGCTTACGCAATATTTAATATGATTTGATGGATCTGTATACTTTGTATTGGGCTCAGGAATGTCAAGCTTTAACATGGAGAGTTTATGACACTCTAATCATACATTGAAAGACTCTGATAATCTGCTATGATATATAAGTAATAACTTAAACAAAAACTTATGAGATGCTTTTTATGTGATAAAACTATGAAATCTTCGGATCAAAGTAAATAATATCTCGCAAATTGAGTATAAGTCTCCACAATGATATTTAACCAAAAGAGTTTTTATTGCACCATGGCTTTTTTAATTAACCATTAAAGAGTTATATTTCAAGAATGAATTTTGCAAGATTAACCTTACGAGTTTGGATGAAAAGCAATTATAAGGTTTTGATAATACAAGCTTAGTCGAAACCTTTTAAAATTGCAAACATCAAATGTGATGAATGTCCAAGATAAATTTCAAGAAACATATTCGGCTAATGCAATTTAAGAAACAAATA